GATAAAGATTAGTTGCAAAACATAAGCACCCTATGAACCTTAGGTGTGTTAAAGATGGAGATTTTCTATACAATAACTCAAATGGTTATCCATTCAATATAGTAGAGGGTATTCTAGTCAATACATATACAACTGATTCTATGCATAATCCCCAAAAACTATTTGGCAAATTACCTTGGAACTTTATGGCTCTTGCAGTTTAAAAAATGTGTCTATGCTTTCTCTCAACAACACCATTTTGTTGTGGTGTGTAAGGACAAGAACTCTCATGCAATATACCATAACTTTGTAATAACTTGCTGCAATCATGACTAAAAAACTCACCACCATTATCTGACCTTATCCTTTGAACTTTCTTTCCAAACTGTGTTTCTACTTCAGTAAAGAAATTTTTAAGTAGCATGAAAACATCTGATTTGAGTCTCATAAAAAAAACCCATGTCCATTTTGAATAATCATCAACAATGGTTAGGAAAAATCTCATTCCATCAAAAGTATTCCATTTATATGGTCCCCAAACATCAATATGTAACAATTGAAATATAGAAGTAGACCTGCTCATACTTTTTGAAAAGGGTAATCTAGATTGTCTAGCAAGTGTATATATCTCACAATTATTCAAAGTAAAAGATTTATTCTTACGAATATCATGAAACATAGGCATCTTTTTAAGAATATTTATTGGGACATGACACATTCTTTGATGCCAAGTAAAAGTATCTACTTCTTGACTTGATGTAAAACACTTGTCACTACACTTTCCGCCATCATTTTGTTTATCTTCTATCTGTGAATACAAAGTGTAGAGGCCACCTTTTTCCTTATCAGTCGCCCTCACCCTCCCAGATGAGAGATCCTGTAACACACAATAGGTTGGATAAAATGTAGCACAACAATTCAAGTCTTTTGTCATTTTTGAGACTGACATAAGATTTATCTTGAAAGTTGGCATACATAAAACAGTATTAAGAATATCACCTCCACCCAGGTTGCAATTTCCAACATGTTAAACTCTTGTTGAGTCTCCTGTGGGTAATTGTACTTGCCCTCCATTTACTTGTCCTACATTTTCTAACAGTCCTCCACTCATCAAATGTCTATGATCACCTATCATGTGGTTAGTGGCACCAATGTCTACTATCCACTTTACATGATTACTTTCACGAGAAAAGAAGTGGTTTGTACCTTCCATGTTCACACTTCTAGTTGCAACACCATTTTTGCCAGCACAAGCATCCACATGACTGGATGATGCAAATTGTTGTGGTGGAAGATGTGACTGATTGATCAAACTGTGTTGATGTTGTATATAGTGATGAGGATCATATCTAGACTGTATATCATTTTGGAAACACTAAGGCATCATATGTTGACTTGAGTGCTGTATCCTTTGGGAACCTGCAAAATTAGGGTCAGCCAAACTACTACCTGTCAAAGAACCAGCAACAACCACATCATCTTGTCTGTTCCCTTTATAATCAACAGGATACCCAATGAGCTGAAAATATTTTTCCTTCACATATCCTGTTTTGTGACAAAAATCACACTTTTTCAGCTTGTTGCATTCTCCCCTAGTATATCCCTTCACGTGACAATAATCACAAAATAATTGTCCTCTTTTCTGCCTATTTATGTCATCCCCATCTTAGAGTACATAGATGTGGGTGTGGAATAATCCAGCATCATCATACTAGTTCATGTCACAATCCTTAGACATTCATCTTGATTCACCATTGAATACACTTGGTTAACATTAGAAAATTGAGGCATCATCAGAATCAGACTTCTATCTTCGCTATAACTGTCACTTAGACCCATCAAAAATTGCAAAACCCTCTGGTATTGTAATGTTCACTGAATTCTTTAGACTTAGGGAAATCACATGAAGGTGGTGGCATGATTGAGTCATACTCATCCCATAAATCCTTCAACTTAGAATAATAGACAGAAACAAATGAAGTACCCTAAACTAGAGTGAAGATCTCCTTGGGCAATTGAAAAGTTCGTGAGCTGTTTATTTTATCAAATCTTTCTCTCAAATCCTCCCAAATCAAGTAACTATTCGAACAAAACAAAACACCACTCAAGAGATCTTTACTTACATTGCACATGATCCACGAAACCACGATTGCGTTACAACGATCCCATAAGAGAGCCAAATCTCCAGTGAATTGACCTCGATTCACTGATCCATCAATGAAATCGAGTTTATCTCTGCCTAGTAAAGCAATCTTCATAGATCTGCTCCACAAGGTATAGTTATCAGATCCACTTAACATAATCCCAATTGACAAAGAACCAGGAGCATCTGAGGGATATAGAAACAGGGGGATGATGATAATCAATGGATGGTGTGGTAACAGTAACATTTGTAAAAGTATTCTCTGAAGTATTCGGTGCTAGATTTCCTAAATTCTCCATGAAATCAAATGACAAAAAAAAAAACTACGAAAGAGATGAGTGCAAAATCTCTTGAATTCCTCACTTCATGTGGAAGAAATCCTCTCGATCTGCACTCGTTGACGCTCTAATACCATGTAAAGATGTTGAAGATTTGTAATCAGTAATATGAACAATGTGATAAAAGAAGAAAATTTCTTTCATTCATTATTGAGAAGAATGAGTACATTGTGTCTGTATTTATACACATTACTGACAATGCTAACTATTTCTCTAATTGATTTAATTAAGCTCACTTAAACAATGATTTAATCCTCTAACTACAACTAATCAGTTAACCAACTAAGGCACACTAACACTTTTGTTGAGCTCCTTTACACATAGATTGTAGGATTAATTATTTAATTATTTGAATGATCATTAGCAGTGTAGGACAGGTTTTAACGGAACAAATACATGATTGTTTTGGCTTATGTACGTCCTTATCCAATACAAGTTACTAATTGTAACTTGGTGGTCATGCTACATTGTATGGTTATAAGAATATTATATTGTAAATTATTAGTGTAGTTTGAAAAGTACTATCTGTGAGTGACTTTCTTTGATGGTAGTAGGATTTGTACGTGTGGTTCAGAGGTAATGCCAGTGTAACTAGTGGCCTAAACTTAAATTATTTACTAATATTATTATATTATATTACAAAGTTAAAGGGTGCATATGTATAGTATTTAATGTTAGATGAATGGTGAGAGAAAAGTTAGGTCAGAACGTTAATGGTGTAAAGAATTGGTGTATTAAAGTGAGGTGTATAGTGGAGGTGTTCATTGCCACTAGTTTCGCAAGCAGTGGCTCAAAATTTGATATATTAAAATGTTTTATCTTGTTATAAATTATATGTTGATGTATTGAGATGGATAATTAAATACTAGGTATTTCGTATTATTTAAACTTCATTAAGTTATGCTTATAGAAAGAATTTAGAAACCCTTCGGCTTGAACTTTAGGAAATTGATTATAGTTTTGAGTGTTTATATATTCGTTAATGTACAAATATATACTTGATAGATTGGAAATGTTCGGAGGCATTGAGGAAATGAAAGGTATTGGAAAAGTAGCTTGCTTGACTTCAGCTCTTTGGTGGAGGTAGGTTATGGTTTATTCTATTCGATTAGTAAAATCTTAATAGCGATTGATATGCATTGAATGATACTGTGAAGTTTTCTATGTACTTGATATTGTGATTGTGTAGCTTGGACGTGTGGTTTGTGATTGGTCTAAAATCGTGAGACCATGAAATTTATGATCTTGAACTCTCTCTATCAAAGTGATGCCTTGAGTAAAGAAGGCTTGATGAAATATTGTAATCAATTGAAAATGGTGATAATAATTAATAAATTAATGATATTCTTGGATTGGAGTGTCACGTTTCGACACAGTATTATTGGATCAGAGTATCACGTTTCGACACGGTAACTTGGATCAGAGTGTCTCGTTCCGACACGATATAATTGGATCGTAGTATCACGTTTCGACACGGTATAATTGAATTGGAGTGTCACATTCCGACACAGTAACATTAAAGGAAAAAGTTATTGAATTAACTTAACATACTCAATCTCAAAGAACCCATTTCCTAAATGAGCGTGGTGTGGAGGCATGATCCGCATATGTTTGTTGGATATTGTGAGTGATTGTGTACTGGCTTCCATTGTCGCTTGTTCATGTTGTTTGTTGTTTGCTACCAGTTAAGTGTCATAGTTTATTTCATACTATTATTCATTGCATATTAGTTTCTATTTTGGTTTGGCCGATGATACCTACTCAGTACATGTTGCCCCGTACTGAGCCCTACTTGGGTTTTCTTTTGATTTCATTTTATGGAGTGCAGTGAGTGTACCATCGACTTCAACTCGCCTTCAACTCTAGCTAGTCTCAAGCATATCGGGTTCCAAGCTCTTGTTGGATTCTCTCGGTCATGACATGATGTCCTTAGTTTTTGGACATAAACTATTTAGTTTAATTATTTTGGTGTCTTTAATACTCTTAGACTTACTATTGAAAATTAGATGTCCTTGATGTGATGAATTTCAGGTTTTGGGGATAATATATAATAGACCTTAGAGATTTAGTTGATTGGTTACTTTAACAAGTTTTGGAGCTTCCGCATTATTGTTGATATTCTAGTAGAAATATTGGTATATGTTAAAGGTTTGGATTCCTTGGTTCACCCGCTTAGGAGGTTAAGTATGGGTTCCACTCACGACTCGTTTTGGGTAGTGGCACGATGATAGATACATCACAATAAAATAATCTAGTTTACTCAATAAACAAACAAATAGCAACATGTGCAAATTGTGCTACCCCAACCAACCGACAATAGAACATATATCAGGTGTGATATCTAAGACAACCTTAAATACTTCATAGCAGACATGTACTCAAGTCAATTGATAATATCAACGAGGCATGTTGCATGATATAATCAAGAGATATCTCATATTTGGTATGGTGTCTGATCAAGATGAATCACATATATCGCACAATTACAATGAGTACAATTACACTAGTAAACCACGAGCAATCAAGACAAATTCATTGTGTGAGATTCACAATAAAATATCATTCACATTTATTCCTTTAATTTATTTCCTGAACATGCATTATGTATAGTTTACTTAATCCTTATGGCATACCGTCAATTCACCTCAATAAGAATATTAAAAGGTTTACAATCATGAACTAGTCCGTCATAGTTAGTCATAGGATAATACTTGCTTCCACAGTACATTTCTGCCCTATTAGCAATAATCAACACTCTTTAATCAACCAAACCCTGCATCAAAAGGCCGAGGTATTAAATCTACAGTCAATCTACAAGAATATTATGAATTAAAGACAGATTTAAGTTCTAACTACTCAGTAAACTCTACACTAGATCATGAGCTATTACTCATTTTGTGAAATTTTAGCTTGTTCTTGATTTAAAATAATAACAAAAGTACCAAATAAATCTCAATTAACCTAAACATTCTCATATTATAACTTAATCCCAAACTCCAGGTCAACCTTGTGATTTTCCCATCCAATATAGGACTTTCCCAACATTAATGCACCTAGACCTACTAATCTCATCGTTACACTAGTGAATTATGGTAAACGAATCAAGAACAAATGTTTTATAAAGAAGTCAAGGTCTTACACCTCAAAATCCTCATAAACTTAGAATTTTCCCCACCTTTGGATGAACCCAAGCCATCCTCTAGGACCACAATTACTGAATCGAAGGCCAACAAATCAAAGTACTAAATCAGAAAATGAATTACTTAGTAAGAGAAAGGTTCCTAATGAAAATTATCTGAAAATCTCCCATAGTCGCTCTTGTTTTCCCCCAAAATGTTTTTGTATGATTATTAAGGGTTTTGGGGATTTCTACGCATTTACAACAATTAAACCCTTTATAGTGGTCCAATACCTTTATAGTGGACCAAAGCGGCCCATAGCGGAAATTAAATTTTGGTTATCGTAGACACGTGTCCCCAACTATAGCGGCTTGCACAGGACAAAACCTCAAAAATACTCTCAAATTAGTCTATTTCAAAAATTTCGACGATCCTAACAAACCTCTTCGCGCAAAGTTTGATATCAGGAGTTATATATACCCGACTTTACTTATAAAAAGTCCTATGGACTCCTTAATGCCTTAGGGATAGGAAAACAAACTCTACTTAAACATTTCACTCAATCATTTTCTCGAAATACCCCAGACCTCATCTAACAAAGATTTTGTCCGTGTGTAGCATAACCTAAATTGGAACATCATATGTTATTCCCTAGACCTCATCTCACATAGATTTCGTTCGTTCGTAACGGTTGGAACATTATATGTTATTCTTACCATTGAAGTTAATTTAGTGTTCAATATCAAGATTTTTATCAATCTTATCAAGTCTTGTTAGGTTGAAATCATTAAATTTCTCCAAAGTTTTATTGCAATAAAAATTATGAGGTTAAAAATAAAGCTGATATACAATAGAAAATTGCACAAATAATTTGAAAATATGTGACATTGCTAAGAAGTCTCTTTGTTTATACAGGTTATGCTTCAATTACATAAAACATTATTTATATATTAGAAATATTAAGTGACCATGACAAGATATTTTTGCTCGTATATTGAGGTAGTAAGGGACAAGTTTCAGTCACTCATTTGGTGAGATGAAAATTGATCTAATTTTGTGGTTTCTATTGGCGTGGCAAAAAAAAACTTATTTTGTACAGAAAGAAGTGAGTTTTTTTAATTATTCAATGAACGAACACGTTACTACTATTAAATTTGTATCAAACTTGAATTTGATATTGACGATTGGGTTTACTTGAAAATCTCATCCATGAAGAGGGTGATCAGGTACTAAATAAAACTAAGCTTAGTCCCAATATGTGGGTCCATATCAGATTTTGAATTGTATTCCAATATTTTTCTTAATACTACTTTTGTTTAACAAGATAAACACTTCAAAGTTACAAAAAAGTTAAATGTTGATCACACTCAATTTAACAATACATCTGTAACACTCGCGATTTGAAAGAATTAGAATTAGAAAGAAGCCATATTTTTGGAAATAATCAAATTTGAAAAGTTTGACCATGTTAAGTTAAGTATGAGTTTTGGGTCAACTTCAAATGACCATAACTCATAGTTAAGAATGAATTAGATGTGCTACAAGATATTGTAGGAAATAACTTTGAATTATATTTCCAATGCCGCCGAGCCTTCTCAATTTTATGTACATATGAGGGGATATGCCCATTTGAAGGGTTCTCTAGATAGGGAAAGTCAAAATCGGATTTTAGAAGGGTTCTATTGTCTATTCACTAACCAATTATTTAATTTTCGTTTTAGTGATTTAATTGGGGGTCTAAACAGTAATTTTGACATGCTAGCTAAGGCCTCATTTGTTTGCACTAAATGGAAGTTTGAATCTTAATCATTCATATTCAGTCCATTAAGTACGTTTGGTTTTTAGGTCTGAATCTAAATCATCCAGATTCAACTCATTAAGTTTATTTGTTTTATTTTTAAAAAATATCTCTTAATGAGTCTGAAAAGGTTTGAATGAATCAGATCTGTAGGAGACTCTCAACAACATTCAGACTCATTTGATAAGTTATCAATTAAGAAATCATAGCTTCTATTTTTTGAGCGTGTCTTTTCATCTCATAACTAAAAAATTTCTTTCTCTCTTTTCTCAATCAAACACCACTTTGTTAGGTAAGTTTTCATAAATCCATTCAAGTATTTTTTTTATATTAATAATTTTCTTGTATTGACGTGTGTCAAGAACACTGGTTGCAATAGTATTTTTGGTGTATAGTTGTTTATCAAGGTTTTGAATGAAAAAATAGTACTCCAAATCATGACTATTAAATTTTTTAAAGCTTTTTTTAAAAAAAAAATCAAAAGTGATATATTTTGTTGAAATAAAATTTTTATAATATTTATTAATACACAATTTCACTTCTACATTCAAATAATAAAAACAAACAACATTAATTATTTAGTGTTCATATTTAAAGATCACATCTTAGCAATACTTCTTCCCTCATAGCTTACGTTTGTGGTATGTATACACTACTTTTGTATTGTTTTTTTTTTTGCATTATGACTGCAATAAAATAATTTTTAGCAGTAGCAAATATTCACATTATTAAAGAGTGTTAGTTGTCATTGAATCCAATTATGTTGTTACAGGCTTTAAAAGCATTTTCAAAAGATCTAATTGTGTCAGAAAGAACATATTAAACTATTGCAATCAATTAGTTGTAAAGATTATTTTTGATGTAGTGTATGCATTAATAAATTTTATTTTATGTGTTGATTGATTGATTTTGCAGTTATTTTGGTGATAATGATTCAAGTGCTCAAAGCAAATGGTTATGTATATCCATCAGAAATGGATGCTATATATATCATGTAAAGGAGGTGATAAGAAACATGATTGTGAACCATACTGTAAATTTATCTATGGAAAAACATTTGTTGGTTCTGAGTGTGTAGTGAAAAAAATAGTTCAAGATCTCATTTGTATGTGCATATCTTTCAGATCATTCCTAATCAAAAAGTTATCCGCGGTCGCCTGGTTAGAAGGAACATTGAGGAACAATGGGTAGCAAATGCGAGAGGTCACCAATGCTGAGTTCTATGAGGACATCAGGATGTTGAGCCAAGTTGTGACCAACTATGCACGCAACAAAGAGAGAATCATTAGTAGTGGTTGATACTTCTAGAATCGTGCGTTTTTAAGGATGAATCCTCCAAGTTTCACTGGTTCAAGAATCACTGAGGATTCAGAATTTATTTTTGAAGATCTTGAGAAGTCTTCGAGATCATGCATGTCATTGATGCTCAGAGAGTGGAACTAGCTGCACACCAGCTAAACGGTGTCGCTAGAATATGGTTTGACCAATGGAAGAAAGAAAGAGCTAAGTGTGATCAAATTTGAGTTACACTATGTTTGAAGAAGCTTTCTTGGGGCGTTACTTTCTAGGGAATTGATTGAAGCAAAGGTAAGATAATTTCTTACCCTTAACGAGGAATCTATGAGCGTTCATGAATATAGCCTTAAGTTCACCCAAATTTCCTGTTATGCGCCGGATATGGTTGCAGAAAAGAGCAGTATGATGAGTATGCTTGTTGCTGGTTTGTCTTGTCTGTCGAGTAAGGAAGGTAATGTAGGAAATATGGAAGGAAATAATATCTTTAGAGAATGCTCAAGTTTATTATAGGCTACTTAAGGCCACTTGAGATGATTACAATCATCAACTACATCACTATTTATACTACTCAAAATAGAAAACAAAAAGTCTTGCACAAATAACTAAATACATGTATCACAATTTACTAGATACATGTACTACAAAATTCTAAAAAGACTTCTTGAAAAACTAAGAGACAATTTTGGAAGACTAAACATTGATGCATTAATTCCAACACTCCCCCTTAATGCATTTGCTTGATAACTCAAATGCGTTCTCGAAGATAGCAAAATTTTTCTCTAGGAAGTGCTTTGGTGAAGATGTCAGCAAGTTGTTATCCTGTCTGAAAATAATGCAACTAAATTTCGCCTTTATCTTGTGCTTCTCGGATAAAATGATACTTGATGGAAATATGCTTTGATCTTTCATGGCTGGCTGGATTCTTGGCAATTGTAATTGCTTATTTATTATCACAATATAGAACAATCCTTTTTTTTTGTTTTTCACCAGTGTCTTCAAATATTCTCCTAAGCCAAATAGCTTGAGAAGTAGCCTTGGATGCTGAAACATATTCTGCTTCGACAGTGGATTGAGCAACAACACTTTGCTTTTTTGATAGCATCTATACTTCCAACCCAATCACTATCATAATAACCAATTAAGTTCAAATTTCCACAAAATTTGTACATTATCTCATAATCCATTGTTCCGTACAAGTTGCGTAGAACACACTTTGCAGCTCCAAAGTGTACTTGGCTTGGTTCTTCCATGAATCTGGATAATAAACTAGCAGCAAACATAATATCTGGCCTTGTTGAAGTAAGATATAGCAAACTTCCAATCAAACTCCTAAAAAGTGAGCTATTAACTTTTTTTTCTCCATCATCTTTTCTAAACTTCTCATTTGCTACTAATGGTATTGCCACATACCTGCAATCCATCATTTTGAATTTTTGAAAAATACTTTTAGTATACTTCTATTGACAAATAAAAATTCCTTCTTTCACTTGACAAAATTCGATGCCCAAGAAATAATTTAGCAATACAAGATCACTCATTTCATAAGCTTGCATCATATCTTCTTTGAAATTTTGCATCATCTTTACATCATTTCCTGTAAAGAGCAAATCATCCACATAGAGACAAACAATGATAATGCTACCATGTTCTTTCCTCACATACAAAGTGGCTTCACTTTTACTTCTCTGAAAATTATTTTTCAGAAAGTATGTATCAATTTCATTGTACCAGGAGCTTGCTTCAACCCGTAAAGAGCTTTTTTTACTCCATTTCTTTGTCTTATTAGCGCAGGTGTTCGTCAACGATGAAAGCCGCTAATACACCTTTTCTTCTTCCCCTTGAACAAAAAATCTTTGAGGTTGCTCAACATAAATCTCTTTATCAAGTTTTCCATTCAGAAATGCTGATTTAACATCAAGTTGAAATATCTTCCATTTCTTTTGTGCAACAACAACAATTACAGTTCTAATTGTCTCAAGACGAGCTACTGGAGACAAATTTCATAAAAATTAATACCTGGTTTTTGCGTGAAGCCTCTAGCAACCAACCTTGCTTTTTGCTTTTGAATATCTCCTTCCTGATTGAGTTTGATTTTGTAAATCCATTTTAGACTTACAACTTCTCTTTCTCTAGGAATAGCCA